CCTAGCTGATAGCATTAAGGTTAAATTAAGAAAACAAGCAGATAACATGCACCTCTTTATAATCTGTATTTTGTAGATGTAAACAAAACCAGTTTACATTCTCAAGTCAAGGTCATCTTACATTTTCTTAAATATATTTATGTATACTAGTCTGCTCAGGTTGCTATAACAAAATACTACAGACTGGGTGGCTTAAACAACATTTATTTCTCACAGGTCTGGAGGCTGGAAAGTCAGCAGATTTGGTTGCTGGTTGAGGGCCCTCTTCATGGCTTATAGACACCCACCTTCTTGCTGTGTCCTCATATGGTGGAGACATTGCATGCAAGCTCTTCTCTCTTTTCCTTTTCTCATGATGACACTCATCCTATTATGGGGTCCCACCTTTGGGACCTCATCTAAACCTAATTACCTCCCAAAGGTCCTACTTCCAAGTGTCATCACATGGAGGTTTAAGGCTTCAACATATGGATTGGGGGGAGGACACAAATATTCAGTCCATAACACACGTGTGTGGTATCAATGTTATCAGTTATACATCCTAGCAATCAAACATGTTCAGAACCATTCTTCGTACATTCCTCCTAACTATCTCAGTTCAAAATAGCACAAGCAGACCTTGCTAAGTCTGCAAAACAACATCAGCAGGAATCTGTTCATTTGAGACCAAGGTCGGGGCTTGATCATCCCCAGGTAGGCCTGATGCAAGGATAGAAAATTCCAGTTCCAAAAACACAAACTACTCTTGTCCCCAGCACTATTTAGAAAACCTTGACAGACCAGGCAAGAGAAGGATGCCTCCCTACAACTACTGGCTACTACTGTAACCAACAACAACAAACAACAACAACAAAAAAAAACAACAACAAAAACCTCCCTCCTTCATCTCTAGCTCCAGACCTCTCTTCCTGCCTCTGAATCCAACTCTTTGCTGGACATCTCTCCCTGGAAGGCCACAGTTCAGTGAACTCATTACTCCTTGCCATCTCTCCAACCTGAGGTTGCCCACAACCACTTACCTCATTGAAAGGTGCCATGACCACACCATCACCATGGACTCTATCTCCTAAGGGACCACTCCCAGGAGATGAACAGGATGTATGGTCATGCTCCCCAGGGCTCCCCTCTCCCGGTCACCCAGTCCTGCCAGGATTCCTGCACTACTGCACTAGCCTTCCAGCTCACCTTGTCTCCTGCCCTCCTTCCGGCTCTTTCTAAAGCACAATATAATCACAGCATTCACCTGCTATAAATGCTCCACCCTCCACGTAGGTTTCAAGATGAAGTTCAGCTGGGTCCTCAGCTCAGCATGCAAGACCCCACACAGCCTCAGGTACTTCCCAGCACAGCCTTGACTCTAACTCAAACAACTCCCATCAGCACCCTGACTGCATTATATCTTGTCAAACCTCCCAGACTCCAAACATATACATTAAAGTAATAAAAGAAAAAAAGTCTTCAAATTGCATCAAGAACCAAGTATTCACTCTTTTCTCTCTTGTTTAGACCTTCTACAGCAAGAGAGTCAAGTATTTCAAGTGCCAGACAAGACTCTTCCCTCGACACATCTAGTTTTTACAAGTTGATGATCAGATCCTACTTTTGATTCCTTTTCCTAAGGCTGAGAAGACTCAATTCTACAAAAAACTGCTGTTTTCACTGCATATGAAATAATTTGTTTCATTGACCAATGGTTCTGCTCAGCCACTGCTCAAACTAGACACATACTTTACATAAAGTACAGAGAGAGGTAGGCCCCCATCCCAACCTTACCCTTGTGGAGGACCCACAGGAGTGGCTGTCCCCTGCTACCACTGCCAGTCCCAGGCAGATCACTTCCCTGTGATCAGGCTGGACAGCGGAAGGGAAGTTCATCCCACATGCTGCTTTCCAGCGCATGGTCTTCTGAATGAAAAAGGGAGCTTCCAGGGCTTATGGAGGTTCTTTGCACAGAGCTTGTTTCTCGTGCTAGAAAACGTGTTCTGTGAGAGGAGAGGTCTACTCTTGGTTCTTGCTGTGTTACCACAGCCCAGGATAGAGCCCCATAGGTACCTGCTGAATGAATGGATGAAGGAATAGGCATTCTCTCTAAATTATAACAGAAGGAGTAATACACAGAACAGTTCCTCTGCTCAAGACATACTCTTTTGCTAAGAATGCCTTTTATTCACTTTGCTCTTAGGTACAACAACCTTAGTAAAAACCAGGTAGTGCGTCATTAACGCCAAGACATAAAGTCTGCTTTTTGGTTTCTTTGAGGCAGGGTCTCACTCTGTTGCTAGGGCTAGAGTACAGTGGTGTGGTCATAGCTCATTACAACCTCAAACTCCTAGGCTCAAGTGATCCTCCTGCCTTGGCCTCTCAAAGTGCTAGGATTACAGGCATGAACCACCACACCTGGCCTCAAAGTTGGGTTTTGGAGTAAACTCTGGAGGTGAGCTATTTAGTTACTGTTTGTATCTTTCTAAGAGCAAAAAGGATTGGGTAAAATGTTGCTTTTAGGATTCCCAAGAGAGGCACTTATTTTACCACTAGAGTTTTCTTTCTTCCTCAAGTAAAATTTGGATATTTACTTTGGTAGGAGTGAGACCTGAGAACCTGCCATTGCAATGGAGCACAAAGCCTGGAACTACAAGCCACACCTGTCCTCCAGCTCTCAGACCCACACAGAGCCTGCCTGCACTGCACACTCCCTGGAAATGGAAGCCCAGAATGGGCAAAAAGGATGCAGCCTGCAAGTTCTAGAAAGAAAGTGTTTCTGAGTGTGGGCTGGCAGAGCATGGTTACCTCAGCTCAGTGTTGCTCACTCAAAATCAGCTACCTTTGCATTCCTGCTCTTTGAATGGCACCACTTTTTCCTAGGGATTTGGAATACTTGAGAATCGCCATTAACATATTCTGAGCACTTAGTGTGAGGAACCATCCTAAATCCTGTATAAAAGTAATCCCAGTGAATCCTCAAGGTGATTTTTTAGATCTCTTACCACCATTATTTTAGACACAGAAGCTAAGGCTGTGACAAATTAAATAACTTGCCCAAGGTTCAGGTAGTAAGTGGTACATCTGGGAACTCGATTTTTGGGTCTTCTATATTTTGGTCTTCTACTTTGTCAATTCTTTGCAATAAAGAAGTTGAGAAGCTGTATAAATATTCATTAAAAAGAAACATGTAGTTTCTCATATGTTGTTTTTCTATCATCTCCTGCTATGGACTTTCCTCCCCGCCCAAACACTGTATGCAGTAAGCAGGTGCCAGCAACTCTGAGCCAACACACATGAGAACAGTATACATTACTCTTCCCAGCAGGCACTGCTTTGCTCTCATCTACAAAGATCCTTCTTTCTTCTTACGGACAAATTGCTGGTTCACATATCATGACTCAAATTATATTCAAGAATGCTCATTTGCAGTGTACTTATTCTTCTTAATGGGACCGTTCTGAAGACAAATGACACCCCCCCATCCCCCTCTCCTACAACACACAACGTCTTATAAAATGTTTGCTGCAACCTTTGCAAACCACAACAGGCCACGCCGTCTGCTCTCTGTGTGACCACTTAGAGCAAAATACTATCATAAGATAACGTTTTGTCTGGTATTACTTCCAAACTCTTAAATATTTCATCAGATTCAGATTTCTAACATAGGTTAATGACAAGCCTATCACAGTAGGACAGCAAAAAGATATGAGAATCTTGGATTTCATTTCTGTTCCCTATCTCAGAAACGTTTACTCCTCCCACTAACATGTGTTCTCTATCTCTTAAATTTAAAAAGGAGTAGTTTTTTAAAAGAGGACCAGTTTGAAAGAATCAGGAATGCCAGCCAAGAGCAACGGCAAGGAAATTAGCATCGGATCCTCTCTTAAACCTGGCAGGAGTGAAGCTCTCAAGCCAGTGGGTAAGGCAAAAGCAATGTGCAGGTTATAAATGGCCCTTCCAACTCGCTTACTCACGTTTAACTCTCTGGGGGGAGGCAGTAACAGCTCTGGCTCCAACACACACTTGTCTGTAGTGGCCCCTTTGCGATTTCAGAAAGTTCTACTTTTCCATGTAGGTCACCCACCAAGGGTAACCTCCATGTACATACACACTCATACAGAGAAAATGGGAAATACGGGACATTGCCAGGGTGGGGGTGAGGACAGGGGTGGGAGACAAAACTTTGGCCTTAATCCGGGCCTAACCCCAATGAAAAAACCCCGGCAACTTCAAAAAAACCAATAACTCCCCTGAAATAAAAGTTGAACGGAATTTTAGAAAATCCTCTGCTTTTCTAAGTTCAAAGAACACTGGACCGCTGCATGGAAAAGAAAAACAAAAGGCTGTGTGCCTAAAAACACCCAGAAACACAGTCTCCCCAGTCCTCCACCCAGCCCACGGTCTCAAACCAGCCATCCCAGATGTGGTCTTCCCCACTCCACGCGCACCTCCTCCAGCCTGCACCCCGAATCGCGCGCTGCCCACAAAAATGCAGTCCAGATTTGAGAAGCAGCTGACGTCTGCTGCCGGCGTGACCCGCATGCCACACACCAGGCCCGGCGGGGGCGACCACCCGGCGGCCCCCGGGGCGCGGTGCCAGGCGCGCCCGACCCGGCGCCGGGCTGCGTCTAGGACCCACGCGCCGCCGTCCCCGCCGTCCCCGCCGCTCGAAGCCTGCCAGCAGCGGCGGGAGAGCAGGGCTCGCGCCGGCTTCCTGGGAAGACGCTGTTCCCGGCACAACTTTTCCCACTTCGCCGGCCGCAGCGCAAAGAGACGCGGCCGTTCCCTTCCCATTCCCAGCATCCAACTCCCTTCCCGCTGCGCCTCCGAGCCGTCCGGGGCCGGACCCCTTCCCTCGCCGCGGGCTCCGGAGCGCAGTTCCCGCGCCGGCCGCGCTCGCAGCCCGGGCTCGACCGGCCGCGACGGCTCCGCGTGCGCCCGCGCCGCTGCGCCCACCTGGCCGGGGCTGCGGGCTCCCCGTCCCGCGGCGCGCGCTGGGCCCGGCGTCTCCCACTCACCCGGCGCCCGCTCGGCGTCTCCGGCTCCCAGCCGCAGCCTTCCCCGGCCGGGGCTTTCCGTTACGCCTCCTCGCAGCCGCCTCTCTCTCGCCCCCGCCGGCCGCTCGGGGAAGGAGGAGGAGGAGGGAGGAGAGCGGGAGGAGGGGGCGAGGAGGGCGGGGAGGGGAGAGGGTCCGCGGCGCGGGGGAGGCGGCGGCGGCGAGAGCGCGCGGCCGCGGGGCTAGCACTCGGGGGAGGAGCAGGAGGAGGGGCGGCGGCAGCGAAAGAAAGAGGCGGCCGAGCCTCCCAGCCCAGGCCCCAGCCCCGCGCCGCTTGCCCAGTCACCATCGCCGCCGTCCCGCCTGCGGCCGGGCGGAGGGGGCGGCCCGGGGCTCCCCCGGCGCGGCGCGCGGGGCGGGACGGGGCGGCGGCGGACGAGGCCCGGCCTCCCGAGGGGAGTGTCCTGCGGCTCCCGGGAGGGTGTCCGGGAAAGGGGATCCCCGAAAGGGGGCGCGGGGACCTGGGAGCCGCTCACTGCGCCCGACGGGCAGCGGCGGCGCCTCCTGGGGTCCTGCGAGGGCTCCCCGGGCCGGGCCGCGGGACCTCCGGGGGCAGTTTCGAGAAACCGCGTCGGGAGCGCCGGAGGCGGGGAGCGGCGCTGGGGGAGCCCGGGGCGAGAGGCTGGGCTTCTTCGGCGGAGCGCGGGCCCGGGGCGCTCGGAGCAGTTCCCCAGCCCCGGGCTCGAGTGGGAAGAACGGTCTGGTGGCCCCGGGAGTCCGGGGCACCCCCCACCCTCGCTGCCCTCTCCCGGCGAGGAGGCTCTGGGCTTAAGTGTCCGTGCCCTGTGAGTCTCCATCTAGGTGAGGAACCCAGGGCCAGCAATCACAAAGAATATTCCTAAATAGAATGCTTTGGATGTTTCAGGACATCTGAGACATCTTCCTCCTCGCTCAAAATACGGTTTCGGGATAAATTTTGAAGGCGCGTTAGCGACAGTCTGAAAACACATCCTCGTCCAGAGAGGGAACCCACTAACTCCACCACCGCCCCCAGGGGTGGGAGCAAAGAACTGAGTTAAATGGCCATGAATTAAGGTGACAATATTTTTGTGATTGAAACGTTGGGACACAACACCTGACCAAGCAAATTTGCCTTTTTTTCTTGTTAAACTTGCTGCCGTCCCCAGTTTCTCAAGCCCTTGTCTGGGACATCTCTATCCACCAGTTGCCCAGATTCAGACTAGGGGTCCATTTGGGGTCTCTGCCTCCACTGCCAGTAGCCACTCCCATTGATTCTTCACTTTTAATGACTTTCCAGCTGTCCTGTCCTTTCCAAGCCCACTGCCACCTTCCTGGCTCTTGCTGTCTGGGGCTGGATGGCTTCAGTGGTCATCTCCCGGTTCCCTGCTCTGGCCCTCTCTGCACTTGCATCCATATGCACAGGCCTACAAGTTAATGGCTCTAGAACACCACTAAGACAGGCCACTTCCTGTTCTAGAAGCACTTTGCCAGTGCCCCCCTCCCCCCACCCCCACACATCCACTCCTGAGAGCCTGGCACTCTGTCCAGATGGGGACCTCCCTCCTCCACGCCCCCTTCCATCCATGCCTGTATCCACGTGGGAGTTGCTGATGCTCTTACCAGAACTAGAATGCTCCCTTTCATCTTCTCCCACAGCCAAGTCCATCTTATCTTCATTGAAAATGAACTTTGCAGTACTACATTTCTGCTATAAAAGGATATATGTGTTCTTCCTATTTTGTGAAATCACACACTGGAAATAACAGGGTTTATGGCGGAAATAGAGTTGGGAACAGATGACTCAAAATCTATGTAACATTACAATCAGAGCACTAACAAAAACAGTACCATTCCAAAAAAACATATTACAGAGCTAAGGAGCCACGTTAAATTCCTGTGAATATTACAGTAAACATAAATATAGGAGTTTACCTTTATAAAAACATGAAGATAACTGTTGAAGAGAAAATAAGGGGAATTGTTTGAGGCTATTGACTTAGGATAAACACAAGATGTACAAATAAGACAAGAACCCTCTGCCCCTGCCCCCGCCCCCTCCACTCCCCACCTTCTAAACTCTTCCAAGTTAGAAGAATTTCAGGCCAAACCAGTCCAAGAGAAAGAATGTAGGGTGAATGGGCACCAGGCAGAGCACCACATGAACCCATAACTCACTCTCTGCTGTGTTTTGCAGCTTCTGTTACTTGGTGGTGCAAAATATGAAAGTACTAGGAACACTTACATATGAACCACCACAACTACACCCATTTTACTAATATCCTTTCCCTGCATATTATCAGTCATGGTTGAATTCGTGTGTGTTATGCATGTTCTTGTTGCAGAAACACCCTTGTACCAGAGGAGACAGTACTCGATCTGAAAAGTAGATAAATTATACTTAATATGAAGCAAGAAATTAGGAATGGTACAGGGAGGAAGAATAGAATAGATGCTAAACAGTATAGTTCCAGAAGAAAGTACCTGCTATGTTCTATGGAAAGGTAGGGCTGGAGAAAAGATGATAGCAGGAACTTTGGGATATTGTAAATGTTGCTTCTATCATGTGCTTCAGCCAAATTTTCAAGAAACACTCACTGTGAAGCATAAGTGAGGAAGAAATTATAAGAAATTAAAGGGTGTCTGCACAGTTTGTTCAAATGACAAGGAGGCCTTAGAAGAAAATGATTATGATCCACTTGGATAGGTCATAAGGTAAAATTACAGAGGTGCCTGGCTAAAATGTATGATTCTGAACTTACTTGCCTGTGCAAATCACTCTGTTCTCTGAATGTCTGGACATTATACCTCACCTAGAGTACTTTGTTTCAACAGGGCTAGATATTTTTCACTTGTGAACACTTTGTATCTTATTCTGAGTAAGAATCTGCTTGGAATTTAAATAAAATATGCATTGATAACAGGAAAGCATTGACATGTTTTCATGATTGTCAGCATACTCAATATCGTTAAGTTTAAATTGCATATTCATCTTCATAAAACTAATCCCCAAATCCACCCACCCCCCACTTTGAAAGACTGATGTTTCCTAAAACGTACATGATCCTAGATTTCAGTGCTAGGCACAAAACTTGGAAATCAATATCCTTTGAAGATGACATAAAAAACTTGATTGTTTAAATGATGAATCTCTTCAAGGAAACTAGCAGAATCTCTCTCAAGGAAACTCACGGTCCTGTGAGACGTCACTGACTTAAAATGATTCATTCTGCTTTTTTTGTTCCATGGATGTAATTTTATAAAGAAGCCATCTGAAATTCAAAGAATCCATTTTCCTCTACAAATAAGGGTGGGGAAAAAAAGGCAATTTTTTTTTTTTTTTTTGAGACAGAGTCTCGCTTTTGTTCCAGGCTAGAGTGAGTGCCGTGGCGTCAGCCTAGGCTCACAGCAACTCAATCTCCTGGGCTCGAGTGATCCTTCTCGCCTCAGCCTCCGAGTAGCTGGACTACAGGCATGCGCCACCATGCCCGGCTAATTTTTTTCTATATATTTTTTTGCCAATTAATTTCTTCTATTTATTAGTAGACGGGTCCGCGTCTTGCTCAGGCTGTTTTGAACTCCTGACCTTGAGCAATCCGCCCGCCTCGGCCTCCCAAGAGCTAGGATTACAGGCGTGAGCCACCTCGCCCGGCCAAAAAAGGCAATTTTGAGCACAAACTCTTGAAGGGCTCTACTGATTAAATTATTTACTCTGACCTATGCAGAGCAGAGGTTACCTTTTTGGCCACCAGCAAATGGCTGGCTAGTCTCCCTGGACTAGAAATGTCATATCTTACTAATTTCTGCTTCTAATGGTCAGTTTTTAAGTCATGGACAAAAATGAAGCCTGAAAACACACAAAAAAATTTCCTTATTTATACCAAAATCCCATTCTAGCAAGGTGCTTGTTATCTGTTGGATGAGGATAGAGAACACCAACTGATAACAAATATGACAGGTGTGAGTGCTGCATGATGGGATGGCATAGGACAAGTCAGACAGACATGAAGGCTACAGGCTTTTGATAAAGAAAATCTAAATGATCTGTGGAAAAGACTCCTTTTTCCCCTCACAGATCTGTTAAAGACACCATCCACATTCCAGTCCAGCCAAAGAAAAATATGGCCCTCAAAATACTTACTGTGGCTAAGTCATAAAAGAAATAAATGCACAAACTTTGGGTACTGTGCTCATCCTGTAAAAACTGAAGCCTGTTGGCCACTTTTATGTTCCAGCCACAGTTTTTATCTTCTGGCCTCCGTTTCTCCTATACATGAAGCAGTAGTTTTAATTTGCCACATGGATTTTCCTAAAGAAGTAGTCAGCTTTCCTGACTCTAGTTCCAAAACTAGATTCCACGTGACACTGGTAGAACTCAATCTAAGAAGGTACTCCATTCATTTCCTGCTATTATGTCACCACACCATAAACAGAGCCCTCTGCCCTCATCCAACTGAGCTTATCCTTGAAGTGAGGTGGAAATTTCCATACAGTGAGACTCTTTTTTACTGCAAAATGTCTTTATTAATTGCATGCAAATTCTGCAACATTCTTCACTGCTCCAATAACTGTAACAGGCAAACTCAAATTAATCTTTATTCACTCTGAATCCTCACTTGTAGACATTTTCCTGGACTACAAACCTTTTCCAGAAGAGGTATAAAATACAATGAAGCTTGGGAGATTAGCTGTCTTACAGTGTTCATGACAGGCATAAAACCACCCAGAGAAAACACGCTTTGGCCCTTTATAACACAATGCGTGTGCATCTGGTCTTGACTTGTGTTTTCAAGAGCTTTATCTTTTCTATTATGAATCACGTGTTGCTCTCAAAACCTCTAAGTGGTAAGTTTTCACGAGTACCCTCACTAGTACCTACACTGAAATTTGGAAAATACTCAGCATGATTCAATAGCAATGCTTAAAATGAGAACTTGAAAAAAACTACTGCTTTTTTTTTTTTTTTTTTTTTTTGCATTGTAGAGAGGATTGTTGTCCTTAATCTGGTCCAGACTGAAAAATCTAATTTCCAATCTAAAAACCTTGCCTGCAAGGAATCATTATTTGATTTTGTTTTTACTTCTCTCTTCCAATACTTTTCCTGGAAACAAGAAACACAAAAATGTATATCGGGAAAACTAGCAATTGCTGGTTTGGGCATTCTATTTTCATTTAAT